TTTTTTTTTTTCAGGTGTGGTCGTGGTTGTTCTATTTTTCTGGCAGTTTGTTGCTTGCCTTGGTCAGGGTCGAGTTTTAGACCAATTCGGTTGGTCATTTTCATTCACATTCGATGTGTACCTTTATTTCAAACTTTGTTTGGTTTTATTGAGATTCTTGTTGCTTGAAAACAAAAAAGAATGAACATTGATTTTTTGTTTCTGGATTTTAGACAACATTCTATCCTATTTCAAAAACTTATTATAGTTTGGGAGCGTTCATGATGTATCAATTTTTGTATTATAAATGAAATGTGCAACAAAATACTACAAAAATAACAGAATTCAAACACACAGTAAATAATAAAGTATATTTAGGAATAAATGATTTCCATAGTTATTCTTAAAGTTGTTAATCGAGCTCGTTAAACTTGATAAATAGAGGTTTTACTATTTTTTTCTTTTATATTTTTATCATGTATATTATCTCGTAATTGCCCTTTCGTGTAGTATGTGCTTCTAGGACTAAGAACCAAACTAAGAACCAAACACGGCCTTAAATTGAAATTGTTGATAGGATTTGGCGTTTAAATTCACATATTTTGCAGACGACGTGTTTGAAGTGGAGATCATCCCCAAAGCAAAGCGCTTATCCATTATTTTTTACGATTTCCTCTTACATAACGGTCAGCTGAAACATCCATCAAAAACACACAGATTGGGGGAGATTTGAGCTATGGAGATGGGAAGCTTCAAGCCTTCCTTTTCTCTGCAGAGCAGTCATGGCGGCAGCTTGCTACTTCCATTTCCCGCCTCAAGATTCCGCCTTCCCTTTACGGGTAATAATAATCTCTACCAATTTTCAAAAAACTTCAAAACACACACAAGCTCAGAGAGTACCTAGTGTTCTTCCCTGTCCTTTTCCGATTTATGTTTATGATATTTGTTTCTTCGACTCAGGCTGAAGCTTCTCAGGTTTTGTTTTGTTCAGGCTTAATATCATGCGAGCTAATAGAGTAGATAATGTTGTAACATTTACTTAATTCGAATTTTACCGGTGGGGTTACTCTTGAATGACTGTTTAGTGATATAGTGCTGAACCAAGGTTTTTGAGTGTCTCTCTCTCTGTGTGTGTGTGTGTGTGTGTGTCGTTGTATCTAACTTTTTGATAGAATTTTGGGCTGTGGCAATAGTACAGTAGCTATTTGTTCGAACGTTGTTTAGTTTCTTGCACATGACGATTATTTCACAACTAAAATTCAGGCACTAGGGAGTGTAGGCCCTTCATCATCCAGACTCAGGCTTTTGTGGATCCTCATAGGCCGAGCTACACGAGCCCCCAAGCAAAAAGATCGCAACTTTTCATAGCTAGAGGTAAAAATTTCTGTAAGAATAACATATACTTATTCTGGGCTTTGAAGTACTTAAAGCAAACGTGACTGGGTTTATATATGCAGCTTCAACACAGCCCTTAACTGAGGAGCTAGTGGAATGTAAAAAGGCGAATCTGTCCACAAGTGGTGATGCTATCCGAACAAGATTCCTCGAGTTTTATGCAACGAGAGGCCACAAAGTACTCCCAAGTGCATCTCTTGTGCCGGAGGATCCAACGGTTCTGTTAACGATAGCTGGAATGCTTCAGTTCAAGCCTATTTTTCTTGGGAAGGTTCTATACACCCCTCCCCACAGCTTCTAAGTTTAGGTCCGTGAGTATTGCAAAAGAAAATTCCAGGCTACATTACTCACATATGTAAAGAAAAGGAACGAAATATGAGATTGGTAGGAGATGAAATGTAATGGTGAAAGTTGGTTTGACACAGAAAGAGCAATGTGATAGTCGAATGTGATTTTCAAACAAAAATATGTGAGGGAGTGATTAGTGGAGCCTATGGAAATTGTTTCTTAATGACTAGTGAATTTAATAGTTTGTTGGGAGGAGAGAGATGCACCTAGTCGCAGCTTTTACATCTATTTTCTCATGATTGAGTAGTGTTTGTTTAGTCACTTGTCCCACCTCTCATGAACCAGGATTACTTATAGATGGCCTCAGATAAATAATATTGACATTTTCATTTGAATCAAGTCAGGTGCCTAGAGAAGTTCCCCGTGCTGCAACTTCTCAGAGATGTATACGGACAAACGATGTTGAGAATGTGGGTCGAACATCTCGACACCAGACGTTCTTTGAGATGCTTGGAAATTTTAGTTTTGGGGATTATTTCAAACGAGAGGCTATAAAATGGGCATGGGAGCTTTCAACCAAGGAGTATGTACTAACCCGATGAAATCAATTCAATCTTGAATCCCCTGTTTGAGATGCATGGAAATTTTAATTTGTATACTTGGGCATAAAAACTATTTGTACCAACCTATCAACATATTATGAGATTTATACTTAAATTCTTCTATAGTTAGTTAGTTCACATTCAAATTGTTGATGTGATTAAGTTTTCCATGTCTCTATAATATCATCTTTTGTAATGATGATAATATCTAGGTTTGGATTACCAGCTGACAGATTATGGATTAGTGTGTATGAAGACGATGATGATACTTTTGCAATATGGCATGATGAAGTAAGCAATTTTCACTTGCTCTATTTTTTTTTATGTATCTTTTATTATTTGCATCACAAATTCACAATGTGCATATAGTTCTCCTAATGCATTTTTTGTTCTTTCAGTTGGGAGTTCCTGCACATCGTATAAAGAGGCTAGGTGAGGAAGACAACTTCTGGACCAGTGGAGTTACTGGTCCATGTGGTCCCTGCTCTGAAATTTATTATGATTTCCATCCCGAGAGAGGACATTTGGATGTGGTTAGATCTTTTCTGAATTAGGCGGGAATTTTAATTTTCTCCAGTGCTTTAAGTTTTTTGTACTTTCTGGTGCAAATCTATGGACCATTGTGTTTTGTCGAGATAGTTCCCCACTTTCCCCTCAAATTCTGTTATTTTACATCTTATTAATTTCTTCATGTTTGTAAATAACAGGATCTTGGAGATGATGATAGATTCATAGAGTTCTACAACCTCGTTTTTATGCAATACAACAGAAAGGATGATGGATCACTCGAGCCCTTAAAACAGAAGAACATTGACACCGGGATGGGTTTAGAGCGGATGGCTCGCATTCTTCAACAGGTTATTTATTGCTGCCGAGCATAAATAATATATAAGTCATCAAGCTCCCACTATAACTAACAGTCTTTTCACATGTTAAACTCTCGTGTATATTTCATTGGCAGGTCCCGAACAATTACGAGACCGACTTAATTTTTCCAATTATAGAGAAGGCGTCGAATTTGGCAAATCTATCGTATAAATCCGCGGACAAGTCCACGAAAACGAACCTTAAAGTACCTTTTTGACTCATAGATTTCAACCTTTTTTTTTTTTGTTGGAAAAAATTATTTCACCAATAAGTTCGAAAACCTGTTCAGATAATTGGTGACCACATGCGAGCCATAGTCTATCTAATATCAGATGGGGTCTTCCCGTCCAATATAGGGAGAGGCTATGTGGTCCGGCGTCTCATCAGAAGGGCTATCCGAACCGGAAGGCTACTCGGCATAAAAGGTGACCTCGAAGGCGGGGTATTTTTACCCATACTCGCAAATGAAGTTATTAACCTAAGCACCAATATAGATCCCGACGTGAAATCAAAAACGCCCCGCATACTCGAGGAACTAAAACTCGAGGAGCTCCGATTCGTTTCGACCCTCGAGAGAGGAGAGAAGCTTCTAGTACAAATTCTAGTTGACGCTTTATCCGAGTCCCGGGCAAACAAGACCTCACCTTGCATTTCTGGAAAGGATGCGTTTGTTCTGTACGATACGTATGGATATCCAGTCGAAATTACTAAAGAAGCTGCTGAAGAACGTGGTGTGAGTGTAGATATGGACGGGTTTAACTCAGAAATGGAGAAGCAGAGGCGTCAGTCCCAGGCCGCGCATAACACGGTCCGGCTTTCGGTCGAGACTGGGGCCGAGATAATCGAGAATGTTCCGGACACTGAGTTTATCGGGTACGACATGCTCTCGACTAAGGCAGTGGTCGAGGGTTTGTTGGTAAACGGTAAGCTGGTGGGAAAAGTTTCTGACGGGAGTGAAGTTGAGGTGTTATTGGACAGGACCCCGTTTTACGCTGAGTCGGGTGGGCAAATTGGGGATTACGGTTTTCTTTATGTTATTGGCTCTGGAAAATATAAGGAGGCTGTTGTGGAGATTAAGGATGTCCAGAAATTACGGGGCGATATATTTGTTCACAAAGGGACAGTTAAAGAAGGTGTTATAGAAATAGGTAGAGAAGTAGAAGCTGAGGTGGATGCAAACCTCCGGCAACGAGCAAAGGTACGCTTATCAGTGAAAAAAAAATATCATGGGGGTGATTACAAAACGGCCCGAGTTTTAGCTTAATCATATACATTGATGCAAATTGCAACCCTTTCTTAATGTACATTGTTTGTGCATGCTTTGGGGAATTCATTACAAGTGCTATATTTTGCTTAATTTTGTTTAACAGGTCCATCATACGGCTACCCATCTGCTCCAAGCGGCGATCAAGAAAGTGATAGGGGAGGAAACATCTCAAGCTGGCTCATTGGTGGCTTTTGACCGGCTTAGATTTGATTTCAACTTCAATAGGCCCCTTCGTGAAGATGAGATAATGGAAATCGAACGGCTGATTAACCAATGGATTGGGGATGCTGCACTCCTTGAAACTAGAGTTATGCCGTTAACTGATGCAAAGAAGGCTGGGGCTATTGCAATGTTTGGTGAAAAATACGGAGAGCAGGTCTGTTTGTTGTTCTTCTTTTCTGCTTTTTTCATTTTTCATTTTTTTTGGTTCGTAAAATTCATTTAAGACTCACTCTGCGAACTGTGTCTATCTTTTGTTTGATATGCAAAAAGGTACGGGTTGTGGAGGTTCCTGGTGTATCTATGGAACTGTGCGGTGGGACCCACGTCAGCAATACTTGCGAAATTCGAGGATTCAAAATAATTTCCGAACAGGGAATTGCATCTGGGATCAGACGAATCGAAGCTGTGGCAGGAGAAGCTTTTATCGAGTATGTCGTCACAAGAGATAACTACTTGAAGCAGTTGTGCTCGACTCTCAAAGTATGTGACCGTGTTTATCTCATTTTTCAAAAGAAAAAAAATAAAAAGAAAATGAAGTAAGAAGGTTGAATTTCAGTTTTATCCTTAACTGACGTCCTTTAAAAAACTTATGAAGTCTGCATTGCTTGCAGCATAATAAAATCCATCCAATTATCTAATGATAATTATTTAACACTTCTTTCTTAAGAACTATGCCGTTCTTTTAATAACTATTCTCTTTGTAGGTGAATGTTGAAGATGTTACAACTAGAGTGAACAATCTTTTGAGAGATCTACGAGATGCGAGGAGTGAAGTTTCAGCTGCACGTGCGAAAGCAGCGACTTACAAAGCATCGACTGTCATTGGCAAGGCAATTACAGTAGGCTCTTCATCAGAGATAAGGTAATTGCCATATCACTGAGGCCTCGTTTACTTAATAAAACTAGGAAGATGCATGTGCTACGCACGTGATATTCTTGTTTTTTTTTTACTTAAAAATATTTTTGTTTTTAGATTTATATTTAATAGTATAATATATTTTCTTTCCATTAGTTTAACAAAAAAAAAAATGGTGTATTTTATGGTAAACATTAATAAACGCATTGAATGATGAAATATAATATTTAGTATTATTAACTGAAAACTATGATAAATAAAACTAAATAAAAATCATTGAGTGGAAATATTATTCAAAAGTAAGAGTAGTTTCTCGAAACTTTTGAATTGCCAAAATTGCTTTCAATAAAGATAAACTTCAAGGTATTTAATTTAACCTTTATATTAATGTTAGAAAGTTACAACTACCAATACTTGTTAAGTTTTTAAACCTCCATTTCTTAATTTACTTTCATTCATTTTTTTTTTTTTTTTTT